ATATATATATATATATATATATATATTGTAAAAATGTTAAAGAATAGAAATATTAAAGAGTATGTACAATGTGTAAAGTTTTTAATTACATATCGCACAATACTTTCACGGCATAAATTATTACATAACATTAAAATTCATTGGATCAATTTTTTTCGCTCCCCAGATAATTTGTGCTTGAATTTTTCACCGTCTTCAATGTATATTTTATTTATATTTGGCCTAGAGAGGAAGCACTGTATATGCGCAACGTATGAATTTGTTAATTAATAATATTTTTACAGAGAGCAGGTAAAATAAAAAATTTTAAATAATGAGAATGAAATATTTTATTCGAATTAAAATTAATTTTTACATTTGGATTTATTTTAATAATTATACAAATAATGTACCATTTCACTGTGGACCTTTTACGATAAATAAATATTTTAGGATTAAAATTTTGTAAGATTTTATAATTAATTTATCCCTAAATTCCTACTGATATATATCGAGGAAATACGGGAAAATTAAAAAAAGCAAATGTAAGAAATTACTTTACTTATAAATATCAAAGTCATAATTATTATTATTATTATTATTTTTTTTTAATTTAATTTCTAGATGCATTTATTAAAAATATTGTGTATGCAATTTTTTCTATAATTTCATTAGATTTATTAATATATATTAATATATTTAAGGCATTGCTTTGATTACGCAATATGATTTCCTAGCCAAGTTGATAAACAGCATATTGTTATTAATAAAAATTTTATACTTTCCTTAAATATATATGTATTTAATTTGAGAACAAAATTCACTCGATCATGAACTTGAATTTCACATTATTTTTTCGTTTTATATCCAATTTCAGAATGTTACTATACAAGAGGCTTGAAATTGCACTAAAAATTAATCACACTGATAATATATATTTCCGGCTTAGTTAAGGAAATGATATTTTATAAATGATTTATTATGAACTATTAAAGTTATGAAAGCATTCGCCTTTCTATAATGGAAATTTTATATCATTATTTAAAATAATCTTAGAATTATATTCTTATAAGAGTTTTTGGTTAAAATATTAGTTAAATGTTTCGTTAAAATATTGTTAAGAAATGCCTATGTATTATTTCGTGAATTAAGCTCAATATGTATACACTAAGAAGAACGTTATTAAATTTGAGACTGATTTAATTTCATAATTTTTCTCTTATTAATTAATTCGTTTGATTAAAGGATGAATCTTTAAAATAGATATTCATAGCTAATCAATTGAAGTAACATGAATGCAGTAAAGAATTGTTTTCAGTACTTTCCTTTATAATTAAAATATCTATTAAAAGATTTATTTCTAATTATAATTAATTAATAAGCCTTGATATGTTTTTAAAGTCATACGTACACGTATGCTATATATATACTTTATGAATGAAAATAGATTAGCGTACTAGGTAAACTGGTGTTCTTGGTATCAAATCGAACGCTTTAAACATAATTGGCATCGGTAAAGTGCAATAACAACTGTACATATACAATGTATTGACATATATATGCTATGAGAAATTGATAAAATTTTAAAACTATATTGGTAATAAAAAAAGCATTTCAATATATGATTAGAAGAAAATGCAGAAACATTTTGTATAAATTTTTTCGTATTGTTTTTTATTGCTGCATTACGAATGTTCATGTATCGCAATAATAATTTTATAATTGTGAACCTTGAATGTTCCTAATAAGTCTCTTTTTGCAAAGCTGTGGGCAAATTTGAAATTCGTAAGCTACATTGTTATTGTAAGGTTGTATGCAAATTGTACGTCGGACTCTATGATTGTGATTCACAATTTGACTCTCAGTAATTATTCACCAAAGATGACCATCTGATAAACATCGTAGACTATGTTAAACTGAGATTAAATCCCGTAAGCTTATTTATGATAGAGGAAAATATTGCCTTTTGTAAAAGTTGAATTGTACTATAAAACAATTCTATATATATAAAATAATTCTGGTAATAAAATTGTATACTTGATAAGCCCTCTTCTTGTTTCTAGAATTTACGTTTCTTAGCGTATCATTAATTTTATTACAAGAATTCAAAACAATTTAAATACTTCATATATATACATATATATATATAAATAAATATATATATAGGCATATCTATATCGTTATGGAGTATTGCAATGGTGGCGACCTGTCGAATTTCATTAAGCGAAAGAACCAACTGGATGAGAACATTTGTCGAAAATTTTTACAGCAGCTTGCACTTGCAATGAAGTACTTACGCGACCATAATGTCTGCCATATGGATTTGAAACCTCAGAATCTTTTACTTATCAAGAGGCCAATTTTAGTCCTCAAAGTTGCAGGTATGTTATAATGTTATTTTCTTTTCTTTTCCTTAGTTTATCGTCGTCTTCTGGGTGACTACTCTACTTTCTAGTTGTGTAGTATATAGACAATGGATTTATGCCTATTTTTTTTTTTCTTTTTCACCATTTAATTATCTTTAACGTAACTGAAAATAATTTAAAATTTATCTGTTTATTATCGAATATTAAATTTCCTACACGTATTATTCATATTATAAATTTCATAATATACGTATTTAATTGATTTATTTTCTTTACTTGAAATTCAATATCTTCGTTCAATTATTTCTGATATGGCTTTATTATTATTCGCAACGTATTCGTATTTACTCCATACAGTTATAAAGTATCCAAATTAATGCACGCTATTGATTTCATATTTAAATTTTTGTAATCGATATAATTTAAATAAATAATGTACATTCTGTTTTTGAATATATGATTTATATAATATAATTTTTAAGTTGCGTATGTCGTTTGCTATTGCGCTGGGGACAAACTATGGCATGAATTGTATAAATAAATTAAAATTAGAGAGAAATTGTCGGTTGTTTTAAATAAACTATTGTATTGAGAATAATCAAATCATTATATTAAATATGATATTAATTATATATTATTAATACAATAATTCCTAATAATAGGTAAATCAATTTTTAAATAATTAATGCAAGGCATTATAATAACTATTGCACATATAGTTATTACATTATTTAATACTGTAAATCAATAAACACTGTGTTCTTTAAACTATACAAACGTAATTTTAATTTATGTATCTTTCTTTCTGGCTTGATAAATATATTTGTCACTAATTTATAAAAAAAAGAAAAAAAAGATAAAGAAAAGTTGTATATATTTTTTTCAATTTGAAAATACCTTTATCTAATCTATTAATATATGTATTCTATTTATTCAGTAGCTCGTAGATGTTATATTGGAAAAAAAATATCATAAATCTAAGTTGCGAGAAAGATGAGACGAAGCAAAGTATTTCTTAATTTGATGCAATTACACATTAGACTTTAGAGTTAAAAGAATTATGATGTGATGATTTGTTTAATGTTTTTACCTTTTATAATCATTTATTATAAGAGAATGGCACAATCTACACAGCTCTATAATCAATATTAATTTTTTTTCCGCTTGTGTTTATCGATATTTTAATTACAGTTGATAATACATATAATCAAGTCACTAGATTCAGGAAAATTAAATGCATATTTTACCCTGTGAGTTTATCATGTATTAATCGTTATTCATTGTTCATGATTTTAATCAAGATTTATCACTGAATTTTTTAATGCAAATATTATTATTTATTTCAATCAAATTGAAAGTTTTCTTAATCAAAAATAATTAAATAATATTCGTGAATGCTATGTTTAACGAAGTACGTTAAATAAAAAGCTTATTATTATTTTTTACTTTGATAATACTGTTTAAAATGTTAAAAATAATAACCTCAACATTTCATATAAAATCCTTGATAATCAAAATAAACAATACATTTTCTTATTCAATGTTTATCGTGTTTTTCATTGTTATTATGATTTTATGACGTTCTATCATAATTTTTTTCTTCATAAAAATGCATTTGTGTGTATAACAATGGCCTATTTAATTTTACAAAAAAAAAAAAAATAACTACCAAAGGTCATATGAATCAATTTTGACATCTGGCACGTAAAAAATACAATTCTGATTCTTATTAACTTATTATTTTCTTTATTGTATATATGCAACTCTAAAAATCTTCAACTATTTGCATTTACTTAATTCACTTCAAATTTCAAATATCTAAACGTGATTATAAACGTGATTAAGTTTTAATAAAACAGAGACTTAGTTATTATTAACATTAATGCAATATTGGCGATAAGTATGAACTCTTCTTTATAAACGCCTTAATTCCTTGAAACTTCTTATGCTTTTACATTGAAATTTTTACTTTATATGACTACCAGTACTGATATTATCGCTCTCTAGTATTCCAGGGCTGTTAATTCATGTTTGGCTGTCGTTAAGCCTTTAATTCTATCTACCGAACAATAGGTCTTAAAAAGTATAAGGGTATGAAACAATACTTATACCGTCGCATTACCAAGTTTCAAATACTTATGATGGCTCTAGTCTAAGAGATACACTTTAAAAAAAATATTGCGGTCGCATGCATATCTTGCAGACTTTGGTTTCGCGCAATACCTCAGCACCACCGAGACGAGGTTTGCGGTGCGGGGCTCGCCACTCTATATGGCTCCCGAAATCCTCTTACACCATAAATATGATGCCAGGGTGGACCTGTGGAGTGTTGGCATTATCATATACGAGTGCCTTTTCGGTAAAGCGCCGTACTCGAGCAACAGTTCTGCTGAATTCGCCAAGAAAATCAAATACATGAAGCCAATCGAGGTGATTCATAATCTCTTATTCAAATTTCGTTTTAGTATTGTAAACTTTTTCATTCAAAAAAGCCTAATGGTGCACTTACACTTTTTCATATTTTAAATAGTTCTAGGCATTGCTTATATCCGTTATTTGTCCTAGATATGCAATATATACATTTGCGCATCCTAGACTATGTTTAATATGATTTAATGGATGTTTTACTCCTCTACGTACTCGCTTGATTGAAATTAATAACTATTTTAGCACTGAAAATAATTTATTTTGAAATTTATAAAATAGGAAAGTTTTTAAATAAAATTACTTTTGTACATTTTATTGCTGTATAAATATGTTGGCATAGATATGTGTACATAATTGTATACACAAATAGCAGATAAATATATATATATATATATATATATATATATATATAATGTCAAAAATAAAAAATATCATTTCATTTTATATATTGACAATGTTTGACTTAAAAAAAAATATTAATTTCTTATCAAAGTAAGTAAAAATAATATATTTGAAAGGTTTATAGCTTGTATTATATTATTTATTATTAAAAATTGGGTTAAAAAATGGAAAGGCACAGAATTCGGAAACTATTACTAAGGCATTGAATTATTTCATCATCCTAAAAATTTCTTTTACTCTTTGGGTCTATCTCATTGTCAAAATATATTTTATAACATAAAAATCTTTGTAGCAAACATGTTAAAAACTGAGGGACCCAGCAACGTAGAAGTAATACTACTTCAACCTATAAAATTCTTCTATGGCCTTTGATATTCAGTATTCTCTTATATTACATCAATGTTCATTGAAATTATTATCGAATTAAAATGAAATAAATATATAAATCAAACATCTTGAAGGCCTTTAGAATGAATAAATGAAGTATGAATATATATATATATATATATATACATTTCATTAATTTCTAATCTCTTTTTCACTATCTCTTAGATTGACAATTTATATTATCTTATTAAAATGCAGATTTTCATTTAAGCATTTAAATATATTATTCTTGTACTCACCTTACAAAGGTACAGTTAATAATTAAAGTAAATCCGTCAAATCTTATATTGTTAAATTGTAAATAATAAATTGAAAGAAATAAATAATCTAAAAAAAGATTTAATTGATGTTTTATTAATAATATCGTTTGATAATCAAGTAAAGTAATCCTAAGGTATTATCATTCATTTTTAAAATATGTCATTCATAAGGTTTGTAAGATCTTATACATTCAAGTCATTGTATTATCATTTAATAAATTGTAAAACACACTTCGGAACGTTTATACATTTATATTAAGTAATTAAATAAGAAGAATCTTTTATTGTTATAAATTAAAAATATTGTGTAATTGTATGTTAAAGAATAGATTTTCTTTTTATTCATTAAATCTATATATAATATTAAAAAGAAAAAAGTGTTACTTTACTTTTAATAAAAACAATACATTAATAAAAGATTATGACCAACTTATCAATTATGGAAATTATATAATATCTTTATAAAATTCTTATTTAGTGATTAAAATTTTATTATCGCACTTGTTTCTTATATAACTACATCTTTTCTTTTAGTTACATTCTATATCCAAATCAAATCTTTCAATATCAGACAATTTTTAATGACGTATTTAATATATTTGTTATGTTATATTTAATATGTTTGTTTCGTTATTATTTATTTAATTATTTTTAGTATAAAATAGTTTAGTATATAATTTTTTTTATTAGAATAAATAGTTAAATAAAAAATATTACCGCATGTAACTTTCATATGCTCTGTCTTTCCATCATGATTATTTAGAAATAAAAATTGTTTACATTTGCTGCGATTTTGAGCTTATACTTAGAATATCACGTCCCCTACTTTTACATAAATATCATCATTCATTATAATATTAATTTATTTACTAATTAATATTTATTAAATAACTGAATAATGTTAAATTAATAAAACTCCATACTTGAAAGTATAATAATTGCATAAATAATGTATAATAAAAACGGAGATATTATTAATTATATTTAGTATATAGAAAATGATTTATTATTTTTATTACTTTGAATTATAAACTATTTTGATTTAAAAATTTTAATTTAAATTTATATTTTTTACGTATACAATTACAATTCAAATGTAACAAATATTCCCGCAGAGTAGTGAAAAATTCATATATAATAGTAATAAAATTATGTCTTTCAAAATGATATTAGATTCTAATCAAAATGTATTTAAGAATTTTAAGTCAGAAATATACATCAGTGTTTTATTAAAACATAATATATGAATGATAAGTAATATTTTTTTAATTTTCATTATCAATTTAAACTTGTTGATTTATTTTTATTAGAATTATCCATGAAATATTTTAGTTATGCCCTAATCTATTAGTAATTGAAATTTAAAATGTTTCTTTTGCGAACGTAACTACATTCATATGCATAAAGTATATTTTTGCATTAGTTTATGTTAACTAATTGATAATTAAGTAAATTAAAGATTCTGAAAACTGGAATATTCGGATAACTTATTTTTTATTGCAAATAATTTTTAGATGCGTATAGTCCAAGTAAAAAAGAACGATAGATGTTTGGTATTCATGAATTTTACTATAAAATGTATTGAAATTCAAATTACTTACCGAAGAAATGAAAAATAATTTTTACGAACTTACTATAGAAATACAGTTGTTGTTGAAAAAAAAATCACAGTTGAAATATTAAGAAAAGAAACCTTAATACTATAAATGTAAAGAGTTATTTTAAAGTTAGAAGAGAATTATGAAAAAATTTTAAACATTTCTTTTTCAATACTTTAAAATAAAAATCTTACAAATAAGTCGCAGTAAGTAAACTAACTGTACATATTATATTATAAAAGTTAACAAATTTATTAGATAAAAATATTATATTTATATATAGTTTAAAGGAAAACATATAACCCATCACTGATCATTTATTTAAATGAAAAATAATAACAAATCTATTATATTTCTATTATAATTTCAGTAATAAAATTTGTGTAATGCTTAAAATACATATTAAAGAAAGCATTCTATTTGTATGGTTAATTAAATTCGAATACTCTGTGTATAAATTTAAGATTTAAAAATACAAGAACTTTCCTCTATTTTAAAATTAGATAAATATTTGTCAACTCTTTTGTAAAGATTAATTTTGTCATACTTTTATCGCCAAAAGTATAAAAACAGTATAAAAAATTTTAAAACAGTAAGAGATTCAAAAATATTTTTTAGAAATACATTGAAAATTGTATATTTGTTCAAATCTTATGCAGAAATTTAATTATTGATAATTGTTTAATAATATAATAAAATTTTATAATACAAACGTAATATTCCTTGTATTAAATGATCAAATTTAATTAAAAATCATAAATACTTTTCTAATCTTCTTAGATATACACAAACATTCAAGCTATTTTTACATTGATCCTATCAATGGTTGAATATAGTCTTATACGAATATATATGTAACGAGGCAAGAAGTATTCAATAATACATTTCTTACGTTCGATTTACCGGTATAATTCCGTCCAGTGTAGCTACCGAAGAATTGTCACATATCCACGGAATGTAAAGACCTGCTAACGCGGTTGCTGAAACGTAACCCCGATGAAAGACTGACTTTTGACGAGTTTTTCGCGCACGACTTCCTGGACCTGGAGCATGCACCCACAAAAGATAATTTCAACAAGGCTGTCAGTCTTGTGCAGAAAGCCGTGGAAATGGACAAGCAGAGCTGCCAGAGAGAAGCTTGTCACTTGTACTGCGAGTCACTTAGATACTTCATTCCAATTCTTACAAGTAATTGTATTTTGATTTGGTATATCCAAATTGAATTATTTCATTGATCACGGTGCACTCTATACTTACGATGCATCAAATTATCATTTATAGGGGTAACTCTTTTGATTGACAAATGTATTTTCAAATTAAATTTATTGGATTTAACATTACTATTTTTAATAGTCAGACTATAGTGGAATATTTTTTTTTTTTTTTTTAACTTTTTATTTAACATATACAAAATTTATCTTTCATATTAAAATTTCATATTCGATATTAAAAAAATGGCTGGTCTAATATAGATGTTAATGTCTATGAAATTTCTTTTATTTTATTTACTATTATTATATTACTGTTAAAATACTAAGAAAACTAAATATCTGTGTTGTCTTGTATTTTACAATAGAACATAATGAAACTAATTTAAATTTTAAATAGTCTAATGTAAAGTTAAAAATATTTTATTAATATATTATTAATATATATATATATATATATATATATATATATTATAAGCAAGACAAGAGATGTGCAATGGTTAATTTAAACTAAATATTTTTATTTTAATCACAAAAACCACAGTGTCTTTGAATTACTGAGTAATACATTAGATTTGACTTTTGGATATATATTAATATTTTAACTTATTATTAACAAATTTATACGTTCAGTGATTTACTGTCATAGAACTATAATTAAAGTTGCCGAATTTGTTATTAATGTAATATAAAAATTTTATTTTTATTGGATAAATTTAAAACTTTTGAGATAATGAAAAAATTTTTCATGGATATGCAAACATTTTCAAGCAATAAATCTTGTTTCAATAAGACATAAAAAAAACATTAATCATAAAATTTTACAGCTATAAATTATTAAATTATTAATTATTAATTATTAATTCATTAAAAATATGGTATAAATATAAATGAATACATTATTAATATGCAGACAAATGATTAAAATTATACACCTAAAATCATTATGCTTGTTAATATGAGAAATGCTAATCTAAATTAAAATTTTAGATCTTTTTCATGTAAATATGATTATGCATCCTAAGATAATATGCGATTGAGCGTAGTTAAAACTGTAATAAAATTTTTGTAAAATCAATCGCCAAGTAATAGAATTATGTCTTTTAAGCGCATTTCATTTAACGAAATAAATATATTGGCTGAGCAAATTTAACCGAACCAATATAAATTCTAGCAATATATTTATATTTTTGAAAAAACAAATCGTTTCTTACATTTTTCATTGTCGATAATTTTAAAACGGAAACCTGCTCGTTAGACGAGGCTGATTTTCAGAAAAAGCAGATGCTCAGGCTAAAGGTGAATGAGTACATTGAACGTGCGAAGCAGCTGAAGGACATGTACATGGAGGCGGACAAGAGGAGGTTCAGGATGACGCCCGGCGAATCACTCAACTCTCAACCCCTTTCAAGATGCGACACACATGAAAGAAATACAGCAATCAACTTTCAAGAATTATGTTAGTACGCTATTCTCTCACACAGTCTCTCTCTCTCTCTCTCTCTCTCTCTCTCTCTCTCCTCACCTTTGAATTAAGACTTCTTTCGATCCGATTGCTAAGCATATACTTTACTGATGAAACGGTAGTCTTCATTACTAAATTAATGAGTAATTTTATTTAAATGTGCATGCAACTGAACATAATTTTGCAAAACGAAGGAGAAAAACATCATCTATAAAAAGTTCATTAATTAAGACTAAAAGTTAGCATAACGAAGCTTGTTTATTACTCTTAGACGATCTTATCATTTATTATGGACCATTAATCAATTGAATAAATAGTAAATTAGCAACATTGACTTTATGTTAATAAAGGTCAATATATGGCAATTCTATAAACTTTTATTAAATATAGCATTAAATAATTAAAGTAAACAATACACGTGAAACTATGAAATTCACCAGAGCATTTGTGTTCGTTTAATATTTTTTCTTACAAATTCTCCAAATAATCTAATTAAATAATAACTCTTTTTAATTCCTCTGAGAAATAGTGCCGTATACACGTATAATGCATACAGTAACCCTCTTTCGAATTGGAAGATCGTTAAATAAAGAAATTTTATAAGCTATTTGTTTTATTAAACGTTTAAGTGATTTACAGCAATATCAATTGGCCAAATATCTTATGGAAATTAACAATGTCAACATTATTAATGTACAATAGACATTATTCTAAATTTTTCTCATGTAACATTTCAATTTAATACATAAGGCTTACTGCATAGTGTAAATGAATGTGCCAAAACATGACAAAATTAAAGAAATAATTATGGATGATCTGTTAAAAAAAATTACTCTACCTTAACTTACGAATAGATACGAGCGATTATGACAGAAAGAAATTTTACAAGTGCTTATACTTATGCTAAATGTATTAAAAAAAAACAGATGAAAGCTATTTTTGCGACATTAATGGATTAATTCGGAAATTAGATGCTTTGAATACTGTATTTTGCCCCATCCTTCCCTTCCGCCGGATGCTTGAACAGTGCAGCGTATGCGGAAACGCAATTAGGTTAAAATTTTTTCTACCTAATACGTGTTGCTTGGCACTTTATGAAATTGATTAAGTATATAAAATATAGATATAACGAGAATATGGTTTCAAAACTGATAAATTTAATTCAAAGTGAATAAGATTTTTTGATATTATAGCATTGATCTAAAATTTGGATAGTGTAAGAAAAAATTTAAGCTTAAAAATTGTTTTTGTTTTTGTTTTTGTTTTTTAATTCTTGTATACAAAAATAGAAATAAAAATTTGTTTATTGTTTATCGTGAAGTTCTTTAATTTTACGACAGCTTTTGATATCCTAAATATTGCAAAAAATATTGCATAATATTAAATAATACGTAACGTTACACACATATTGATTTAAGTGGCGATAGATATTATTTTTCAATAAATCTTTAAATAATAATTATTTACTCGCTTTCATATCGTTCGCTATGAAATCGCGTTTTAAAAAGACCGGCAAATCTTTCTAAGACGCAACTACTTTCATTTCTCTCGCAAAATAACATTTTCAATTGGCATTCAAGGTTTTGTTTCTCTATTTACAACCGATGGTCATTAACCAAAAGCATCCTATTTTCCACGGAATCAGGTAAGCTGAGCAGAAGCACATTGGCGATGCCTTCAGCCCTGGAAATAGGAGAAATTGCTGAACAGTATCTGGCCGAGGGCAATTACGAGTTAGCCATGCAAAAGTTTCAGTCCAGCCTGAAAGTCCTTGTCCCGTTGCTGAGAAAAGAGCCGCCTGGTCGCAGGAAAGATCTTCTTTCCAAACAGGTATTCTCGATTCTGAGACATACGGAAACCAGCTTTCCTTCTCTGTTCTTTCAAATTCAACATTTCTTTACCCGATTTCCCTGATTTAACAATATTTGTGTAGATTACCTTGTCTATATTTTATTTCAATGCTTGCGTTAGCTCCCCTCTCATCCACATCGCCCGTATGCGTGTACTAATGCGCGGATGGCAGCGTGGGTGGGCGGGTGGCAAGCGAGCGAGGAGAGGGGGGGGAGGAATAGGATCGTAATTTTGTTATTACGATGATAAAACTTCCTCGTCAGCTAAATTTGTGATTTCAACGTCCTTACTAAATGAAAAATAAGAAACGCATATTATAGGTATTAATAATGTTTTAGCCTACATTATCATGATATACATTGCCAAATGTAATTACGTACTGACAATTTTTCTACAATATTTACTCGACTAAAACGCTTTAATTGTACTTTGGACGATAAAAAAATTGTAACGAGTTTATGCACCTTTCTATATTCCATTAAAGAAAAAAAACGTGTTATGTAAGCTCTTTCCAAAGATCGATATAATCCATTTCTTGTGCAAGGGTTTATACAATGAATGTTTTCTACTTAAATAATATTGTTTTTAATTAAATTAACTATTCGGATTGTAAAATAGAAAATATATTTCGCACCGTTGTCTAACGAATAGAATAAGATATTAAAATTTTGCTACTAAACTAAAGTACATGTTGAATTAATTTTAATCTATGTTAATTTCTCAAGAAAATTAAATTACATTATCGTAAATAAAGTTTTAAAATAAATTATTCATTTAACTGGTTTTTTCGCATTTGGATATTTTGTATTATAGAATAAGTTAACGTGTAAACTAGAAGTAATACAACAGTTTTATAATTAATCATATTAAATATTAAAAATAAAATAATAATTATTAATGAAATTTCTTTATTAAATATATTTATTGACTTGTTAATCTACAAAAAAATGAAAACGATTTTTCAATGCAAATTTATTATGGTTTTAAGTAGATTAAAAATAATGTATAATGAAAGCTTTTAAATTACGGAATATTAATTATATATATATATATATATATATATATATATACACATATATATTTACAGTTTTACAATGAAATGCAGGTAATATGGGAATTTTGTCTTTACGAAATTGTTCGACTCCTTTAATTGTTTATACAAGCTCAAATATTCATTCTAACCTATAAGAATTTCAATAATATTATATAATTAATTTATTACACATTCCAGAAATTAATTATCTTTTTATCGCGTACAACTCGTTTCTTTATCCTAAAAACAGAAAGCATTAAAAATCAAGCATCTTTGAAGTTTTTTATAATCTTCATGACATTCTTATATCTATCCATTTTCTAATTACGTAAGCTCTTAATTAGCTATTCGTGCACTTATTAAGGTCTCAAAGCTTTCGAGTAGTTTAATACCAAAATTAAAACATTAAAATACATATCATTTTATAAATAAAAGAAAATAAATATCAAGTACTTTAATTACACAGGTATTCAAATGGATGGAGGAAGCTGAAAGCACTAAGAGCCTTCTCATGAGTAAAGATATGGAGAAAATTGCACAACATGCATCAGAATCTCAGGAGTTGTGTTCATTACAATAAGTAAATACAATAAGCTTTATTTAATCTTAAATACATTTTTAGTTTAATAAAAGAAAATTTTTTTAAAAAAAATTTATATTTCGTTTTTAATTACAAAACAATGTTAATCTTAAGATCCTCATACTAGTGATAAAAATATTTTTAATCGGTTCTTATTGATTTCAATTGTTAAATTAGAAAAGTATTTTTAATACAATTTCTTATTATTTAGAAAAATAAGAAATAATGTATATATCTTCAAAAGGTTCCAAATTACTATTAAATATCATCTACTTCAGTATAAACTATGTGCTTAATGTAGTTTAATAAATTCTCAACTTGATGACATCATTGTCTTATTACGTAATACAAATGTATGTTACGTAATTAAGACATTAAGATTAAGTTGTCTCTATTTTCAGCTTAAATAATGTAAATGATAATATATATGCATTGGGTATTTATCCATATATGTAACATGTGTCTGTGTGTACGTGCGTGCGTGCGTGCGTGCGTGCGTGCGTGCGTGCGTACGTGCGTGTGTGGGCGCGAGCCCGGGTGTGTGTATAACCTTTGTGTCTACGATCGAGAGCGCGCATACCCATTCGCACGCACGTTTGAACACACACACACGAACGCATATACAAATATATATCGATGGTATCTCCTTTTAGATTGAACGCAAAGAAGAGTGCAAAAATCTAAATTTTATGTGTGGGTTAAAAAACAAAAGCAGAAGAAAAATAAAAAGAGAAAACAAAATTTTGGAAAACTATTTTGAAAAGCATTAACATAGAGTCTCTCGCTCTCTTACTAAAACCTGTTTTATAATATATAACAGACTTTTTCCCAAGATGGCCGTCGAATGCAACAATATTATAAATATACTCTGAAATAAATAAAATAAACAAATAAGTTTGTTTAATTACGTGTCTATGGTGAAGCTCGTATGTGATTTGAAGTAATTAATTCCGCGACACGTGCAAACAATATTTTATAATAAAAGCAAATTATCCAATGTTTTCCGCAACTTTATATACCGTGTGGAACTGAAGTAGCGTTCGGACGGGGAAGCTTTGAAATTTTAAAGAATTTTAAAAAGACACCCGCATTACGCGAACGAATTGTTTATAATGAACTTTATAAAGACGTTAAAAATAAGTAAAAAATAAGTTAAAATAAATTAATAAGTTAAAAAATATTTTCCATAATTTTTAACATCATTAAATATGTTTTTTTATGTTGGTCTGTATAATGAGGTAGGTATCGCACGTAATTGCTATTTGTAATTTCCCCTTAATTTACACGATTATTATAATTTGCTGATTTATACGTCTATAGGCAACTAACTAATCAAATTAATATATTCAGATATTAAATGACATTGGAGTATTATATCGAGCTTCGAGGATACTTTCGAAATATCCGTATAAGCTAATGAACAATGCCATTTCCGTTTTTTTTTAAATTTCACAAAATACTATATTCTTCTACCGAGTGTCCCAATTTCGATTTTCCATTTTTCATCTAAATATTAACAAAAACACATTATTGAGTGTTATTTTCAAAATTGGTAGCCTAGCGACGAATACTATCGTAAAGGCTTATTTATCCAAAGACATGGGTAAAAGATTGTAAAATATAGCCCATCCGGAATACAAAATCCTTTGTTCGTAGTTCCATGGCGTCCCTCAGCTCAAAACGTGGCGCTAGTGTCATCACTAGCGCTTATATACGCACAGGTCAATGTAAATGCTCGCGGCACCGACTTCCGGTGCGCATATTGTATAGTCTATACATAGGCACCTAAGAGCCAACCTAACCTAACAGTCTAACCAATACTCGCACCCTCTCGCACCCTCCTAAACCCCCCCTCCCCCCGCAACCCTCGCCCGAACCAACCAAAGCGCGGCCGACCATTAGCAGCTCCACGGATCGTCTCATATATATGCACGGCGACGCACACCAACAGCATATCTCCGATCAAGGCCTCGTGGAAATTTTCCATTCCCAGGAAAGAGAGAGAGAGAGAGAGCGAGAAAGCGCTATTAGAGAGCCGCCCCTCTTTCACGTTTCCTCTCTCTCCCCCCTCCCCCCGGGTCGGCCCCACCGAAAGCCGCACACGTGACTGTTTACACAAAGCGAGGCTGACCCCCACCACGGACCGAAATCGCCCGTCGTCGCTAGTTCCTGAATCCCCCACCACATTGTCGTACGCCCCGACCGGATGTGCGACAACGTCGCAAACCGTTAAGCACATACATATGGCGCACAGCCACGGGGGTGGGGATAGAGCCTAGAGCGAGAGCCACCGCATGGGGTCGTTGGGGGAGCGAGTGAGCGAGACTCACCGAGTCAGTCGGGGGCTCGAAGAGAGCAAGGGGGAGGAGAGAAGTGGCAACGTTCCACATTCAAAATCCTAAGGCCTGCCCCGGCGAGCGCGAGAGAGATCCCAGTCTGCTTGTCCGCTGGCTCGTTGGTTCGATTCTACGTACACGTACGTGCATGCGTTAACCGAGCGGCGCTGCTCCTCCTCGCCACCGCCACCGCCACCGCCACCACTGTCGTCGACGCCGTCGCCGTCGCCGTCGCTGCCGCCACCACCGCCGCGACCGCCGCCGCTGACACTCGCAACATGTATGTCGTCGTACCGCGCGCGCAACATTACATAGTGTACGAACGCACGGACGTTCGGCTGCGCAAGTGAAGAGGGAAGAAAAGCCGGCGACCCTGCACTCCCCTTCGCGCGCGCGCGCGCGCTCCCTTTCTCAATTTCTCTCTCTTTATCTGACTATCTCTATCTCTCTATTTCTCTATCACTCTATCTCGCTCTCTCATCCTCGCTTCCTTATGCCTTCATGACATGGAAAAGCAGCGGGGCACGTGAAGAAAGAGCGAGGGGCCGGAGTCGCCGGGGAAGGTGTGGATGCATACCGAGGGCTCGGGGATAGGAACGAGCCGTGGCTGCGAGCAACGCATCGCGCTAGAGCGATTGTGCGTAGACACGCGAGTTCGCGCGCGCTTGTGTTTTGTTCGTCGAGGGCAATACATATCGGCGCGGCGCCGCAAAGTTCCGCAGGGCGGCGAGCCTCGCTTATGCAGTTCCGTGTGTCATAACGCGATAAATAAAAGGACGGTTGCCCTCGTGCGATGCGAGTGCAGCCGTGGAGTCGTCGTCGTTGACGCGGGCGGAGTGTGCGGCAAGTAGGCGGCGCCAATTCGTGTGCGTGCGTGCGTGCGTGCGTGCGTGCGTGCGTGTGTGGTGTGTGCGCGCCAGTAGCGCAGGCCCGGTTCACGCAACGGTCTCGATGTTAAATGTCAAGAGAACGCCCTCGGGGATGGCCTGCTGCTGAGTGCAAGTGCGCCACGGGCCTCGAGAAATTATGTGCATGGACGTCCAGACGAGCGAGAAGATGGGAGACAGGAGCAACATCGAGGAAGACATACAGATAGTGGAAGCGCACGTCGACAAAGGTACACAGACGCGTGCACGTACGGGCGGCGAGAGTTCGCGGCCGCCCTAAACGTTCACGGGCACTTTTGAGGTTACGTCGGAGCCTCCCTGGCTCCTCGCTCCTCGCTGAGCGTCGCGCGCCTCCGGCCTCTTACCCTTTCCCACTTTTACCCACTTTTCCCCACTTTTCGCAGAGCCGTCCGCGTGTCTCGTCCTCCGAGTGTCGTGTTCCTCGAGCGCGCGCTTTCGCGCAAACGCGTGCGCACGAGGGAGAGAAAGAAGCTGTGGTAAAAAGGCCGGCAACGAGATGGGAGAGGACAAAAGGGAGAAAGAGTCGTTTTTAAAGTGGTCGTAGTCATGGTCGTAGTCATAGCCGTCGTCGTCGTCGTCGTCGTCGTCGTCGTCGTCGTCGTCGTCGTCGTCGTCGTCGTCGTCGTCGTCGTCGTCGTCGTCGTCGTCGTCGTCGTCGTCGTCGTCGTCGTCGTCGTCGTCGTCGTCGTCGTCGTCGTCGTCGTCGTCGTCGTCGTCGTCGTCGTCGTCGTCGTCGTCGTCATCGTCGTCGTTGTGTTATTGTCGTTATCGTTTGTCTCTGGGCCTCGAATTGCGGGCCAAAAGAGCCCCCCCCCATCCCCGTCCCCAAGCAAAAACGCGTGCGCTTTTTCACACCTCGCGACTTGGTAATGTCGGCAACGGACTTAGGTGAAGCCCGGTAAGGTCGGTGTGCTCGCGGAATCCGAGATAATGCCACTGCTCTGCCCTTTGGCTCGACTGTGGCTGTCCATATTCTTTTATTGGCCAATGGATCGCGCGAATGGGTGTCGATCTCGTACAAGGAAGCGCTCGCTGCCGATACCATTTCGGTTGAGTTTCATAACGGGGCAGCGACCAGACGCGACGATACGTAAGAAATTCCATGTGCGTCAAGACGATTGACTGACTTGACGAGCCCTTTTTCTGCACTTCCCTTGCTCCAAAATCAGAATTCATTGGATGGCCGAGGAGGCGGTGGTGCGCGGTTTGTTGTAAGAGGGGGGGGGGTGGAGGCAGTAGGGTCGATGACATAACGAGCCTGCCTGTCTCTGCCCAATAGCCTCGAGTTGGTGAAGCGAGGAGGAGGAGGAGGAAGAGGCGTAGTAGGCGTAGTAGGTGGAAAGGAGAAGGCAATTCTTTGGCAATTATCCTATTATTAATTTATCTGATTTCGATAATTGTCCAACTTATTGCTATTTCCGCGATGTCCACTATGCCCTGTCACTACTACTACCACCTTTTAACAATAAGTTATATATCATTCGGTGTTGGTCGGTTGGAGCGTTACACGAGGCGTACACGAGACTTGGCGTAGCTTTAAGGTTGGCTACATGGACAACTAACTCGGTATCAACTTGCAATATGCTTTTATTTATCCTTTCCAGACGATATTTGCGTTGATAAAGTTGGGATAGAGTTGCCGCGCGGTCTTAAATTGCGCAAACATGGTTATTAGGGGGAGCCCGATTTTCGGCGCCATATAGATATTGCAATTAAAATAGTTTTTATTGGCTCGGTCAGTTTGAAAATGAAACGAGAGTCATGGACACTTCGAATGTACTCTAATTTTTTCAATTGAGCATGAATTAATTGTTAAGGGAAACTCGAGATGATTTCGCTTTGATCGAGGGATGAGTTACACGTGCTCGCTATTTAGGCATTCCCTAAATAGTTTATGATAAGGCCAGTGCGCGTTTGTAGGTGCGACTGCGAAAATTAACGATAAAATGCAGCTTGCCGATGTCAGCAATCTTCACAATTTTTTCGTCTTTCTATATTGCTCTCGTGATTACTATTGTACACACATGCATATATATATATATATATATATATATATATATATATATATATATATAAAAAGTTGATGGTAAGAAGTATTCATAATGAATTAATCCGGCATTGATAAGAGAGCAGAATTATGGCATTCTTATGCATTATTATTACATTGCGGCATAGTGCATCGGCACGCGACACGTGCATAGTTGTAATATCAATTTTTGTCGTAAAGGTATGCAATTTCTTTAGAAAAAAGAGTATCTCGTGTTACGGAAGCGCCTGTAAATAGTGGCCCAGCTGTAGCTTCGAATATTCTTAGATGGTATAATATAACCTACGCCGCGCCATCTATTTAAAGGGATGCGCGTGTAAGAGCGAAGAAAGGAAAAGGAAAAATGAAGAGAAAAAAGCATTGTGTAAAATACGGACTCGTCACCATATATGTTCCATATAAGATGATCGATGTAAAAATTTCGCAAATATCTTATGGATCCGCCATCCGCGCATTCTAAGGTAGATAAATGCTGTGATGCAAATTGCTCGACATAACTCTACGTACACGAATGGGCGATTATTATTACTTGGAAAATTCATAAAACCCTATTGGTTGGGAAATTGGCTTTCGAGTGCACGCCTATGCCATTTATAGGTATATCTAAATTCCCAGTTAAATTGCCAAGGAAGTATTTTTAATGTGCGATTGTAACTATAAAGGACAATCGAAAAGGGAATCTATTGTCAAAATAAGGAATTACTTGCTGATGACCATTAGAATAAGGATTATAGCAATTATGGCAATAAAGTAATGAGTTGTGTGTAGCTCATTTATGGCCTGATATTACAAACGCCCGCAGAACATATATATATATATATTAACACCTGTTATTTATTTTCCATTAATCGGTCATGTTTTTAAGACATATATATATATAACTTAAATATACATATAACTTAAAAGCTGCATTTTACAATATCTCATAACGGATCATAATAAATATTTAATCGGGGGAAAAGCGGTTAGTAATGTCGTTTGTAAGGTCATTAATTTGTACGTCAAACGTTTGGCGAAAATTTTCCAGATTTACAAGTCCGTAAAAAGCTATTTTGAGAAAAAGTTATGGCACTGTTGTGGCATTTAATGTTTAATGTGCCTGCATATAATTACCCAAAAACTGGCCTATAATTTTAAAAGAAAGAAATAACCGATTCGTTTACGTTTCATTGGGCAAGATTTGCAAAATAAAACATTTATTTTAACATACCTGGTCAAAGTTTTTTCTTTTTTTTTTTACACTTTATAAAGCTCTCGATTAATCTAATTAATTGATTTTTTATTCAATTATCCGCTGTAAAGCATAAAATTTAAATACTATATTATGAATGATTAGCGGCGAAATAGTATTAAACTATGCCGACAAACTATTGTAATTACAATTATTCTCCCTTTAATATATTTTTAATAATATGACAGTTAAAGAAATAAAATATGTGATAATTGCAAGCAGGTAAATAAACAACAGGACTTCCATCGCGACGATAAATACTACTGTTCTTATTTATTTTATCTTTATTATTATTATTATTATTATTATTCATATATATTAACGATAATTATTCTTTCTAGTCCATAATAATTTTTGTAAAATAATATGTTAATAAATTTACGTAAAAATTTTGAAAAAGGAGACTATACTGAAATTTTAATTTTCATAATAATTTATCTTGAAGTCGTTTAGAAATTAATGGTGTATTTACTTAAAAATATTATACGTAATATTATATACCCGTTCCATGTAAAACGATCGTCCAATGCTTTTATATAATTCTACAACTTTTAATTTTTATAGAAGCTTTTAAGATAGTCGAAATTATTTTTAATAATTCTGCTAAGCGATTACTCGTACAAAAAATTTAGTCTAATTTTGCGTAACATTAAAAATATAATAAGAATACGTATGTTGAATCACCGCATCGGACATTTAAATTCATGTAAGATATATCTGAGTTTACAAGTTAGATTACATGATTATGTGTAAACGACACTTTACTGTTGACTTTTTACGACTGTTTATTGTCTCGTCGATGAGTATAATATAACACGAATAATTTGTGATTTCATTTGAAATCAGTAATTTTTTTTTTTTTTTTTTGTCTATATTTTTTGATTGTTGAAGAACATCGTGTACGAAGGAATCATCCTGTATGCGAATAAAGTTCGTATTTATTCCTTATTTTCTATTTATTTCATAGAGTATAAATATAAAACGGAAACAATTGGTGCTCCCAAGTTTTATTCGGTAAGAACGTCTCATCGTTATTAAAATTCAAATTGACAAATATGAGGAAAATAATTTACAATAGTTGCTATTCAGATTTCGCAATAAATACGAGAATTCAATGTATTTTGACGAATATTTTGAACGTAAATCGTTATTTCTTGTATCGTATATTTATTAATTACAATTTTTATGATGTTTGATTATTTTTATGTATTATTAAATTAAACGATAAAGCTATTAGTATTGTTTTTTTTTTCTTTTTTTCTTTTTTTAAGAATTGTTATAAAATTATGTTTATACATAATATTATTAGAAATACTTGATTTACTAGAATTAAGCATTATATTATAATTAACTATTATGTATGATAATCATCGATTTTATAATTGCAATTTATACTTTAATAAAGTGCTCAACAGTAATTCTAGTATTGTTGTAGTTATCGTAAATTGATGTATAATAAAGGCAACTGATAACCAACACTTACGTTTTCATTGATAAAATTGTAGGAAATTAATGGTTTAATACCAATGCATTAACTATTATTACAAAAATAGAATTTCTCAAATACTTTATTAAAAAACTTGTAAGGTTTGAAATTAAATGGTCCTTTTTTTTATTTTTCGTATTTTATTGTTTATAACGGCAGTAGCATAAATGAAATTCACCTAATAAACTGAACGTTGAATATTTATAATTACAATTATATTTGATTGTTGCTCGATTCAAGTTAAGACATACATTCCAAGCTACAAAATAATTAAACGATTTATATACATTTTATTCCAACGTTTCTACAAAAATCAATATGCGATTATATACTACCAATGATGTTATAATTTTCAGTATTATTAATGTAATGACAGTACGTAAAAAATTTTCTAATCGTAGTTTATCGACAGCATTATAATTCATTTTTATTGATTTTTTAATTT